ATCCGTCCTCATCGACAATTGGGCACAAAACTATGATTGCCCATTTCTCAACTTCAACCGCACCTTCGGCTGGATGTGTGCCAAGTTCATTCGCTTCTCTGACAGCAACATCTTAATGGCCACACTTCACTGAAGTCCCCGCGGTCGATGCTGGCACCTATCTCAATGCGGTCGATGGGGACTCGCGTCGCTAGAACGACGGGGGCGTCCCACCGCTTGCTACGGTGTCGTCTACCGTCAGGCAATGGGTCTCTAGACGAGGGCGAGTTCGTTCGGTTAATTTCCTGATACTGCTGAGCTCGTGGAGCGGAGGTGGTCGGAGGCCACAGTTAATTTGGTGGCCGTCGAGTCGGTACCAGCTGACGAGCGAGTAGACGAACTGGCGGAGGTACTGTCAGCGCAGTAGTTGGCCATCGGGGTGATGAAGTCAGCGTACAGGGCGAACTTGCTCAGAGTGCACTCCGGGCGTCTCGAATTGCGAGATGACTTAAGTGGCAGGCTGTGCTGGTGAATTTGGCAGCCATCTCGGCGTCCGTCGAAGAAGTTTGCTGTCGTCGCCTCCACTGCTGCGCTTGTCGCCGTCACCAATATCACCTCGTCGGCAACGACCATTCGTGCTGTTGATTTATGTGACTTCGCTGGCCACCAACTCTGACGAGGTTTCGAGTAAAAACTGCCGCTAGAAAAATCACGAGTGAGCTTCAGGTCACGTTGTCAACGTTCAGGTGGGAACGAAGATGCCTGCCAATACATGTAGGAACATGTGTACACACGTAGCCTCTTCCTACAGAATCCTTTGTTCCAATAGTTGGTATTACCTGGTGCGGACACCTTTGAATATTTGCACACCTTATACTTACACCTCGCTTTAGCCCTGCAGGATCTATTACTAGCGCTCTCAATACTTGCGCTCCATCCAGTAGCTCAGTGCTCCTACAAGAATGTCGTAGCTAGCGGCTAGTGCAATGTACGTCGCGACGTCACTACCACCGCTCACATTCAGACGCTGGATGTGCTTGTAGCGCTCGAATGGAACACTGAGTGTACTGCTGCAAATCGACGCGGGCGACGGACCGGACACTTCGCTCATGGTCACGTAGTGGAAGTCAGGGTCCCCAGGTGGCGACTTGGGCTTCTGGATTGAGATCGACGTTGTGACTTTGCCCTGCGATATCACCTCCGAGTTGAGCAAACAGCGGTACCCTTGGCTCTTGGATTTCTTGACGAAACACACATTCTCCTGGCGTAGACCTCCCTTCTGCACGTCAGGAACCATGCGCCTCACCGCCACCATGTGGTGCACACCGCCAGCATATTTCTTCAGCGACAGCGTGTAGATTTCGCCATACGCAACATGACGCACCGACCATTGCTTCCGGGACACACGCACAATCTCGAACAGTTTGCGACGTCCAAAGCCGTAAACGTTGCACAGCTTGAGTCCGTGTAATGGGCGGAACTCGCGCTTGTCCAACATGTAGATGGTGTCGGTGTAGTAGGACAACACGCCGCGTGACCTCATGAGCGTCTCGCTGGCCACAGTGGATTGGCGGTACTGGTTGTTAGCTGTGGCTGCCTGTTCGCGGAAAAAGTCGCCGTAACGCTTTACTGACTTGTAGTATGTGTCGCACATACACGGGGCGTCAGCACCCGGCGCCTTGCTGTGTGATTCCACGATCTTTTCAATTTCTCGACACAAAAGCGACCCCTTCGTCGCACCGACAAGTTTCAGATACGTTGGGTTCATGAGCACTGGATCCAAGTCCGAAATGGCCTCCAGCACGTCCTTCACTTCAGTCGAGATCTGTTCCGGAGACGCGTACATCCGCTTTAGGGATCCGATAAATCCGTCCTTAAGGCAGTTTGTCTCAATGAATCGTAAATGATCTGCGCACTTCTTGTCGCTAGAAATCTTCTTAAATACTTCCAACGCTCTAGATGGCGAGCACGCGAACGTTTGCTGTACACGCCCCACTGAAATCTCGTAGCGGAACGGCAAGGTCTCTGTGATTCCATCGCTCGCCGCACACGCGTTGATATCCACGCGGTTGCATGGAACCTGCTCGGCTGTTGAGCACAACACAGTACAGTAGCGGTCTCAGCAACTCTTGCAAGTTATCAGACACCAACAAACCACCAACTTACCGATGAGTACTGGTTTGGGGTCATGCAACTCACACACGTAGGTCGGTATGGCATCATCGTCTTTATCCTCTTCTTCGTCCTCGCCTTCCTCGTCCTCCTCGTCCGAATCTGGGATCACTCGCGAGCTGGAGGAAACGTCGTCTCCGTCAGAGCTAACCACGTCGCCATTGTCAATCTCCGAGCTGCGGTCAGTCTCCGTTCGCGACGAGTCCCGGTCGGTGTCTTCCTCTGGCTCCTTCACCTTCATGATCTCCGTCGAAGCTTTGCGCTTTGCGGCCGCCGCCCATTTGCGGGCCAGTAGGTCGCTGGCGGGGGACGAGTGTGCGCCTCCCCTCTGGCTGCCAGACGCTGCTGTGGGCGTCAGCGTGATGTACGAGTCCGAGAGCACATCCGTGGAAGCCATGGCGCTGCAAACGAATATTAATGTAATGCAAGCAGAACGCAGGACGACAATAGGCGGAATGAGGAATGTCTCGCAATGACACCGAAGGCCAAAAGCGTCTGACGCTTGATGATGCTCTGTACGGCCAGACTCGGGACTCGTCTCTTTTGTGCTTGCATGATATCAAATTAGAAAGTTCTTCCCAACAGTGGAAGTACTGCAATACTAAAAATAAAAAAACAGGTCAACAACGGCTTAAGGAGACACTAAAATATTTACCCTTACCCTAAGTGGATATCGGTTGCACTTCGAGTTTTGATGCTGAGCAGAGACAGGGATCGGTCAAGCGCTACCAACTGGGGGGTCTTGCAATACCAGTACTCGCGCATGCCTCAAGAACCTAGCGTCGAGATTGCTAAAGCGGGTACTTCAAAGTACATTTAACACAGCGAGAGGCCTGTCTCAAAACTGAAAGTATTAAAAATTCAATGGACACGGCCTGATTGTGATCATCGACGCACTCCGAGCCAGCGTCGAGTGAGTAATCGCTGCCGGCAACACTGTTTCGCATACATGTACGTATTGTGCGTTCTACATGTACTCAAAATTTCCATGTGCGGCTCTTTGATTTTTAGATCATGCGTGCTTAACTGCTAACGCGCATGCAATCTGGTACATGTACAATGGTTTTGATCTAGTCCGTTTAAAAAAACAGGAAATTGGTATCATTGAATTGGACAATACGGTACAGTAGTACTTTGCAAGTAAGATCTATTGGAGTCCTTAGCTACTAATGCCAGCAATAATTTCCAAGAAGAAAAGCGTTAGAATTAATCCCATTTGGTATTATAGCACAAGATTCGCGACTCTCGTCGCCTGCTGAATCAGGAGGATCCCAAAAAGATCTAGCTGGGTTGTGGCGCTAGCCCACGGCAAAAGTGAAGGTTGGGAAAACGTTTCGTTGAGGATTCACCCAAAAGTTCACCCCATAGACTCGCCATACATACGTACATGTACTTCAGTAGTACAGTGTACATTCACTCGCTGCTTTTCTGCGACGAATATGGGTCACCCTTTCTTGAATTAGCATGTCGGATTGGTGAAGATCGTTCAGGCTTGTCTGATGAGCAAGCGTCGTAGAGTCTACGCCTCGTGACTTCAAACTTCTTTCGTCTACGACGTAGACGAAAGAAGTTTGCTCGAACTTCAATGCCTAAAAATGATTCTGTAGATCTCTTACAGATTTATCTATATCAACAATCGCAAGCCGAAAGAACTTACAATCCACTTAGGTCTTCAGTGGGTTTTAATGTGGCAAGTCGATCAAACTGGCAGATTGAGTTATCAACGAAGAGGACTTTGTTGTTTTTGGGGGAGACAAGTGATCGATTCATTGTTACGAAGCTGCCTCTTAGCTGCATGTACTTCTGAAGTGTACAGCAAGTCACACACGTTTATCAGTCCAGCTTTTCTCGCTCGAGTTTCAGTTTGGGAGGGGGCATCAAAGGCAAGGCTAGTCAAAAGCCAAGGCAACCGCGGCCTCGGGCTGCTTCTCGTCAGTAGGTCGAGCCGGAACACCCTCAAAAGCGCGCATGGCGTCCAGATGGATGGGCGTATTCTCCAACTGGGTTGACGGGGGGACATAGCCAGTATCCGTCGGGAACACACTCAGAGTCTCAAACTCCCCGACCAGGTGAATAGCAAACGTTACTCGCTCGTGCACACCGTTGGTGATGATCACTTCGTAGAATCCAGGGAAGCTTGCCTGGTTGCCAGAGTCGTCAACCATTGCCAAAGTGCTCTGCTGGATACGAAACTTCAGCTTGCGGTACTGCGTGGGGCGTAGACTCACACGACGGTAGTCGAACAATTGCTCGTTCAGTAGCGCTGCGTTGCCGGTCGCATTGACTTTCAGAGGTCGGAAGAACGCGAATACGACTTCGTCTCCGACAAGATTTCCGTCGTTCGAGAGGATAACAGTGACCGTTTGGTCCAATTGACGCGTTACCACAATGGGTTCACTAGGGTCCGTCACACCACTTGAGCTGTCAAGAGCCATAGTGAATCTCGTGTAGCTGAGCCCCCAACCGAACGGGAACACCGGCACCTCTTTGTAGTAGCGGTACGATCGACCAGGATACTTGGTCATACTCATACTCTTCATGTCCACACTCGTGACATAGTTGGACGGATACATGGTGACGGGGAGCTTGCCACTTGGGATCGCATCTCCGAAGAGAATGTCGCTCACAGCTTGAGCACCGAAGAATCCGGGGTAGAACGCCTCCACGACACCGTCAGTGTGTAGAATCAGCTCCTCTGCGCCCACCACGCCGCCGTTAAAGAGCACCACAACAGTCGGTTTGCCAGCACGACGTACGCGCTTCAGTAGCTGCATCTGGATATTGGGCATGTCGATGTTCTCGCGGTCCCACGCCTCACGCTCGATGGACGTGTCGATCCCCAAGAACAAGACGACGGTCTCGGCTTTCCTCGCAGCAGCTTCAGCCTCGTCAAAGCCTGCAGTTGACGTGTCGTTTATTCCCGAGCCTTTCGCGTACAGCGTGTTCGAGGCTCCATTCGCGATAGTGATCGCTTCCAGTGGCGTCTGCACACAGCCAACCTCCAGGTAGTCACCATGGCACATCTGACCTAGATAGTTGCCCAACAGAGCGCGTTTGGCCGCTGCGTGAGGTCCAATCACCGCCAGCTTCTTGCCCTTGGCTAATGGCAAAATATTGCCGTGGTTCTGCAGCAACACTATCGACTTTCGCGAGAGATCCAGACTCAGTTGCTTCGATTCCGCCGTGTTGACCTCGTTGGGTGCCACGTGCCAGTACGGCTGGTCGTCGATGGGGTCGAATAGCCCCAACTCGAAGCGTAACTTGAGTGTCCGACGCATGGCATCGTCCACTGCCTTCTCTGGCAACTGTCCGCTCGTCACAAGCTCCGCCAGACACTGTTTGTAGACGCTCCCACTGTTGACGTCCGTCCCTGACAGGATGGCTAAGCGTCCTGCCTCGCACAGTGTCTTGGTATAGTGTCTTTGATGGTAAATGCCTGCGATCGCGCCCGAATCGCTGGTAATGTAGCCATCGAAACCCAGCGCATCACGCAGCAACTTGGAGTTCAGCTGCTCGTTGGCACACATTGGCATGCCGTTGACCGAGTTGTACGAGCACATGACTCCCTTGGCTTTACCGTGGACAACCGACGCCTCAAACGCCGGCAGATACGTGTCAGCAAAGTCATATCTCGACACAACCGCGTTGAACGCCATCCGGTCAATTCCGTCATAGTGTTCGTACGAGTACGCGGCGTAGTGCTTCAACGTCACGACTGCCTGTAAGAACCGTTTGTCTTTCCCTTCCTGCAGTCCTTTAGTATACGCCACGCCGTACTTGCTGTTGACCAGAGGGTCTTCCGACGGGGTCTCCATGTTCCGCCCCCATCGCGGGTCTCTGTTGATATTAATATTGGGAGACCAGCAGTCGAGACCCAGGTGAGGACCCGTAGCGTAGTTCTCTCTAGCTCCTTCAAGCCACAGAGCTCGCAGCTCCCACCCTACAACTTGGGCCATGTCGAACACTGCTCGTGGGTCGAAAATGGCACCGAGGTTCACAGGGTTCGGGAAGGACGTGGCGCAGTTGGTGCCACAGGTAGACTGCACCCCGTGCACGCAGTTTGCACCCCAGTTGTACTCGGGCAGGCCGATGCTGCTCATGTTACCTTTGGGACTGGCACGGGCGGTCAACAGCGTCACCTTCTCATCCAGCGGGAGACGTCGTAAGAGATCCTCGACACGCTCGGCAGTCGATAGTGACGCATTGCAGAAGGCGAATTGCTGGTGCTCCGGGGAGGAGCAGGCGCGCGGGATGGATGCGTCGACAGTGGGGGTACTGATGGCACAAGCCAGCAGCGCTAACGGGGGCAAGAGTCGCATCGGTGACTTTGATGATCTCTTCAATCAGATCCGGATCAGAAACAATTATCAGATTCCTGTGTGCTTACTTGTAAGCAGCGATCTCTGAGAGAGTAGACGGTTAAAGAGCAAACCTGATATATTGACGGAGTGAAGAATACCGGTAGATAACACTTGAAAGGCGATTAATAACTGGTGTCCAACCGGTCTCCTTACAAAAAGATTTTTGAACCGGCTATTTTTTAATCTAAAACCGCAATGATACGTTTGTACCGGTACGTTTTGCTGCACAAGTACCGTAGCTGACAGATAAAACCTGCAGAAATCAAAGCACCACCATCATGTAGTATTTTCGACGAAAATATTGAGTATTTATTTAAACGGAGGACGAAAATATTGGGTATTTACTCAAACGGAGTAACACGATGCATTCACTTCTCTATAGTTGTACTATAACTTTGCATCTACGCTAACAAGCGGTCTGATTCTTGAGGAGAGGCTAGCTCTTTTTCTTTCAAATGTGAGCGCGCGACAGCTTTGTCGGCCTCCTCTTGCCAGTTTGGCCGCACAAACGCTGGGTAAAAGCTGGCGAGAGACGTTACCGTATACCCGCATATCATACCTTTCCAAAGTCCCAGTAAACTGGGGTGAGCTGTATGAACACCCATCCAGTAAGCTGAAGGAACACCGACTAGCCAAGCACCAGCAACCATGCCTAGTGCCAGTGGCATTGGTCGTGCTTGAGCTTGCAGAACGGCCTGTGCAAGGGCATTTTTCAGTTAGAGGGCGACATGACTAAGACAATCCCTACCCACCAGAGCATAGCAGAAAAATGACAGCACCGTATAGGCGAGCGCTGCCAGAGAACACACTTGACTGAACGCCGTGGTGACCGCCGGATCGTCCGAAAATATCCGGCCAAGATGCTGCCGCGTGCTAACGATAACCACGCTGTTGATAACGGTGAGAGTGGTGATACAAACCCCACAGATTTTGGCTGCAACAACGGCGTACGACGGCTGGCCAGCTCCAAGATGGTTACCCATTCTTGTTACCGAGCCACCGATGACAGCGTAAAGCGGCGAAGTAGCGAAGAAGAATAACTCCATCATTGCGTTGTGCGTCCCTAGCTGGAGCTCACCAATCTTGGCTGCAAACAGCGTCAGCACGGTCAGCTGCGCATTCTCCAGTAGCTCACCGGCTGCGAGCGGCACGCCTACGGATACCAGATTCCAGACGATTTCTTTATTGAGAAAGTGGGTATCCCAGCGCCACGAACATTGCTGATGGTACCGGTGATATATGTTCATGTATGCAACGTAGCTCACGAGTCTTAGAGCCACCGCAACCGCCGTCCCCAACGGACAACCAATGAATCCAAGCTCGGGCAGTCCAAATTGACCATACGTGAGCCCAATTGCGAAGAAGCAATTGAAAATGACCATGAGAACATCGAAGACAGCGGTTGAAAGGACGATGTTTTGCGCCTGGTAGAAACTAGCAAGCACTTGAAACATGCTGCGTGGCCACAACCAGAGCAAGGAGAGTCGACCGTACTGTCCTGCTAAGAAGGCCACGTGCTCCGCAACACCCGCTGTTAGGAGCAGGCGGTCGAGATTCCACCAGAGCAGAGCCATCGGTGCACACGCGACCGTGAGTAGAAGACTCGTTAGCAGCGTGTACTCGCCCACCAAGTGATAGTTCTTCGCACCGAAAGCTTGCGAGCAAAGCGAATTCATGCCACCATTGAAGCCTTGCATGAACACGAGTGTGGACAAATCTAGACACAGTTGCGCATACGCAACCGCGGCCAGCTCGTCTACGCCTAAGTGACCCATGACGCTCAGCTCAGTAATAGACACAGCAAAGTAGCAGTACGTGGAGAGTGCGCTTGGCAGCACCAATGCCAGCAGCGCGCGGACTTCATGGTAGTACACCTCCATCTTTAGATGAATTTGGTTGTTGGCGTCGCTTCAAGATCTTCCGCCAAAGGTGGATGACATACTCATGATAAATTATATCGGGGCCAGGTAACCAAATATCATATGATCTTTTTGACATAAATAGTACTATTTTCGAAATTAAATAGTAATAGTAGATATTTTTTCTAAAGCTTACTTTGTATACGATATTTTTTACTACCGGTAACTTGGAGAAAAAAAAATATTATATTCTAAATGATATTTATTTTATTTTCCGCTTAAGTACGTTTCATGATGTTACCCTGGACTGTCTTTACCATTATGTGGACCACATATATTTAATCAAAAAATATTTTTTGCCTAGTTATAAAAAATGATCGCCGCAACCGAGTCTCCCGTGAAAATCATTTGTGGGAGTTGAGTCTGTACTAGTAGTACATCGTCCTGGTACGCCGATAGATGCTCCTGAATGTACGTTTGGCATTAATATTTTTGCCGTTCTTAAATTGGTGATAGCCCTATTTGGGTGCACTTTATCACCGTTAACACCGGATATCTCTTTTCAAGAATATTGTGGATTGGACAGCACTCGAGCTACAAACTCATCGGACTCATCGGTGTCCATAATCAAGTACTTTATGCGTTGTACATTTACTTGTTTTTGTTTCTTTCAGCTATTAATAGCTTGCTGGTGTCTGCAGACCAATCAATGGTTTTTTAACCCCACCCTTCGTCGTCGTGCTACTCCTATACCTTGATGCAGCCACCCGACGTCCTGCCCAAATGATCTTGGTCCACACAAGCAAAAACCGTGCTGACCCACATTAACAAAAGCGGAATCGTTTGCTAAAGACGATCAGTACAACAGTTCTGTGTGAGCTATCCTGGCTCATACGAGTTATTGTGAAACAGAGCGAACATAATTAGGAAGACATTTGAAAAGTCCTCTGTCATTCTATCTAAGGGACGCATTTCTGTCAGCTGAAGCCATAAAATTGATACATGTACAGTGCTATTATTTGTGCAAACTATTTACTTATAAGTACATGTATGTCTTTGCAGAAAAAATGGAATTGAATACGATTATCAAACACAGACTTTAAACTCCAATGTGGGGGCGTCAATATATATTGGTCGAGCGGCTTACTGATAGAGTTATTATGCAAATTAATTCTGTACTTCAAGTCGTGAGACGGCTTCGCGGTTCAACTCGATGACGCGGTATTACACACTCGTAAACTTTAAATGACCTCAATCGAGATGTCGTCGCTCGTGCAGCCAGTGATGATCGGATTGATGCTGTGTTTTAAACTCAGTTTGCTGTCCGTCCGATCAACGATTTTTGTATTACTGTAACGTGTTACAGTATTACCGTCTTTCTGTACAGCTATACCGTTGGGGAAAAGTACGCTGTATGTCAACATCATGTACAGTCCATCAGGAATTTACAAGAAACACTGGTTCGTAATCGTGTTTGTGCTAGGTCAGTAAGTGTTTATGACTCGATACGGGTGATTTCTGCCACGACGTGGCCCATAAACTTCCAACTTGTGAAGACTTAGTCAATGCACGACACCATACCATTTCTCAATTGTCAGTGCGCCATCCAAGCTGCCATGTCGGCTGGCTCTCTATTTCCACCCAACAGACAATCACTCAGCGACGAGATTGTTGGTGCTGTTGTCCTGCGCACAAAAGCAGCATCAAGTCGCGTACTTTACGGGGCGAACATGCCCCCATTGTCGAAGAGTAACGCCGGTCGAGCTACCGTCGAGGCGCCTGCTGTATCGTCAACAACGAGACGAGCTCGAGAAAAGAGCACTCCTCTCTCTGGTAGTAAACACCCTCGGTCTCTTTCGGAAACAACGACTAGTATCGAAGCTGCTGCCGACATCCAAGATGCCGACCAACGCAGCTACGTGGCTAAATTGACACGGGTTGTCCAAGACCACGAGCGGGTCCTAGCTCTACACAGGGAGCGTCGTCGAAGAAATCAAGCTCGCTACCGGATGAAACAACGGGAGCTGGTACTAAGCCTGGGGGAAGGCGTTCGAAAGATAGAGCGCGAGATACAAGAGCTTGAAGTCCGGCGCCACAACGCCTCCATTGGCATTCCAACCCATCAAACCCTCTGGACCATCGCAACGGAGTATTTCCTACTCTTCCGACATGGCTTCCGCTCACCACCAGAAGCACTTCGAACTGCTGCACTCAATTTTCTGCGCGTATCGATGGCTTCAAATGTGGTGAATGGGCGTCAGTGTGGCGTTGAGTCCATACTTGCGAAATGGAGACTGTTTTCGGATTACTTCGACGACGTCTACGTCGAAGTCGAAAGACTTGAGAAGTCTGCCACTGGTCAATCGCTGACCGCGGTCACTACTACCAGCGTTACCGTTTCTGAAAGAACCATGCGTACAGTGTTTCCGCACTTGAATAGTGATGGACGAGGAGGTATCGAAGGGGGCAATTGGTCGTCGCTTGGCTGCAAGCTTTTGAATCAACGCCTCGTCATGCGCGGATCGGTGTACTTCGACTGGGACAGCACCGTCGGCTGCGTAGCAAGAATCCAAAGCCAATCGGATATGCTGACACCGCTGCTACGGCTGCTGGGCACCTTGGAAGATGTGAGTCTCGTGTTTCAAAGTGCTCTGGTAACACCTGATTGTCAGTTTTGACCTGGTAGCCTGGGGAGAGAGCACATTTGCTGTTGATGATCTTCAGCACTCTTCAATGCAATAGTTAAACTGTAGGACGCCTTAACACGGTGCACCATCGCATTCCGAGATGGCTTGATTCCTAGTGCACTCAGTTGACATTTTTCTAAACATATATAATGCGAAAAAGTAAACACATGAAAGTGTATTTGTGTGATAGGATGAGGCGTGAGTCTAACACGAAATCGGTGAAGCTGCGTAATGGTGGTGGTTAGTATCACACCAGCATGAGGGTTCTCACTGTGCTTTGACGACATTTACGTCGTGTCCGAACGGTTGGAGGAGAGATACGTGTCAAATACACTTGTTGTAGCTACAGTGACTAGCGTCACCATTTCTAAGGCGTTGCCGTTGGTATTTCCGCATCTGACAACAGTGGACAGCGTACCGCTAGCACTAAGAAGCTGCCGAATATTTCTTCGATACTGCTAGGCCTGCGACTTGTCACGCACGGAGAACCAATCGTACATGTTGACACCAGTGCTCCGATTGCTGAGTAGCTTGATCGACGTGGGTCGAGTATTTGCTGGAGCTTTGTTGACACCTGGGTGCTGGTGAGTGACAGAAGACCTCAATGAGCTTAGCAAGAAATCGGTGCAGATACCAATCAATCGTAATTTTACATTCGTTTGCATGCATTTCTCTTATGTACAATACCGAACCATATCATACTGACAACGACAGCGACTACGGCACCTCCACCTGCCATCTTGTTCGAGTGTCCCAGCATCGTGTCATTAATCCTAGCAAAGCTCTATCTGGTTAGTTTAAACGAGAATCCTACAATCTGTAGTGACAAGAGCACCCTGGAACACGCGATTTACGTCCTCCAAGTTTCCCAGCAAGCGTAGCAACGGGGTCAGCATATCCGACTGGGTATCCATGCTTGATACGCGGTCCGCCCTGTCATCCCATTCAAAGCGCACCGACCCGCGCATGATAAGCCGATATCTCAGCAGTTTACACTCAAGCAGTGACTGCTTGCCATTTTTTCCATGACCGTTAAGGTGCGGAAAAAGAACTCGTAACGTATCGTGGGAAATAGTAGCTCTTGTGGTGGTGATAGCACGCAACGAATTTGCCGAATCCTTCTCCAGACGATCGAGATCGACACGGACGTCGTCAAAACACCATGAACTCATCGATCTGCCGTTGGGGGGATGGAGAGCGAAAACGTCCATGAGCAGGTGGTGCGGGTGATGGCTGGCTGTCGAAAGTTTGGAAATGATCGCTGACGATTCACTTCCCCCCACCCCAGTAAGTGCGTAAGGAAATGATCGCAGACGATTCGCCGCGCCCCCCCCCCCAGTAAATCCGTAATCTGTATATGCTTGCATACGGACAATCATCATCTTCATGATGTAGCAGAAGCAAAATAGCGATCAATACGGTAAGTAATTAAAACGAAACCCGAACTCTTGGCATCAGTGTCAGCACTTTCCTATAGAGTGAAATGAGCCATTTCATGGTTAAAGTAGTACCTGGTATAATGAGATGTTACAGGATTACTGTCACGAGATGCTTGAGATTTGCGGGTACAATGCTGGGGATTTGCTGTAAGTAAAGAAGATAAAAACGTTTCCGTTATAGGTTTGGGTGCCATTCTTTTGTATTTTTTTGGATGGAGCATGTCATTCTCCAATAAGTAGTACATTGTGCAGCGTCAATGGCTGGGTGCGTATTGAAGCTGGGGGGAGCGATAAAAAGTTGATGTAGAACCGGATTGGTAGTTCCCCGTGCGCTTACATGTTTGCATTTCCTTAGAGGCACAATTAATATCTAGCTGTTATTTACCATCGCTGACGAAATCGTGACGCCCGAAGAGCTCTGACATTTTGCTAAAAAAATACATTGATGGTTACCCTTGTTGGATGTAAATGCACCAGCGAAGCATAGCTTTTTTACAGTTAGTAAAGTTCCACTTTAGAATCGAGGACACAGCGATTCCAACCCGGGTTTCAGGCCCACCGTGTACTCTCTGTAAATTTCTAACTTCCACAGTAGAAAAAGAGGTTAAATGGTGATGCAATTTGTGTCTAAATCCCTACATTTCCAAATAAAAAGTGAAACTGCGATGTTTTGGCTGGTTCATTGCTCGTATTGTGACTTCCGACCAAATTTGGTCATATTCATTGCACTCGCTTACAAACTTCCTGCTATTTTAAAACGGCTCAGATCGTACTTAAGTGCTCGTTGATC